AAGGTTGCTGGAAACATGATGTTGTTGAAAAAGAAAGGAGTTTGGGATGAAAACTTATTAATAAAAGAAAGTGATATGATCTTGTTGGAAGTACAAGGTTGTTGATACATCATAACTTCAAGCCCAAGAAGGAAGAAAAATCATGATTATAGGGTCACGTGAAGTACTGGGTATCATAGGGTTGCAAGTCCTGCTCTGATACCATGTTAAGATTGGGCGAGAAGAGAGAATAATATTCAAGTACAAGTAAATACATATGTTTTTTCACACTCTACAAATCATAGAGCAATGTGCCATATAGATACATATTCCTTCGGGGGTTACACTATGGGTAGGTCATCATGCAAAAGAATTACAACCATTACAATATGAGTTACAATAGCTGTTACCACAAGTTATAATGGGCATGAGGTCCATTATTCATAGGAGTTACAGGTTTTAATGGCATGAGGTCCATTATTCATAGGAATTGCAAGTTTTAATGGCCATGAACCCATAACAATATGACAATGACTTCATGCAGCCCATTGGAATTACAACTAGTATATAGGTTTTAATGGGCATGAACCTGCAATAGTTTCATGAGCCTATAGCAGTAGCTATAATTCTCAACTTTGTTGTTGAAAACAACGTATGCTCTGATAGCAATTTGATGTAGGAAAATCGAGAAAATAATTTAATAAACTATCAAAAGAGGTCAATTTTGAGTGGATCTGACTTTTCTTGCACAAAAAAGTGACCCCAACACTCTAGCTATTACCATTCACAACATGTTTTTATTATTCACTCCCTAAAAGTGTTAAAAACCCTAACACTCCAGACCATTTTATTACATTATTATAGAAAGAAACCAAAACTACCTCACTATATTATTAAAATCCTCATAAGTATCTTCACTTAAATTAAAACATAAAAGATCATTAAATTGACCCTAACTTTAATTAAAATACTAGCATTCACTAAGACACTAAAAAACATAGGGGTGGCAATAGGTCGGGTAGGGTCCGGGTCGGGCTGGACCCCAACAAAGTTTATGGGACCCAAACCCATTTGGACCCGAAGTTATCAGGCCCAGACCCGACCCAATAAATAAATAAATATATACATATCATATTTAAATATTATATTGGGTCGGGTCTACATGGACCAAGACTCGAATAGTATTTGGGTCCAAGATTTTGACCCGGACCCGAACCCGACCCACTGGGTCCAATTTTTTGCCCCATACCTGGACCCTGGTCAGGTTTGATTGTCGGGTCTCGGTTGGGTACGATTTCATTGCCACCCCTATAAGAACATAACAAACTAAAATGAACTCCTTAAAAAAATTGGCCTTCCCCTCATAGATCTCCTTGCAACCTTGAGATGTGGATTATCATAAAGAAGGCCGTTAAACGGTGGACTGATTGGGTCAAACGACCCACAATAATTGTCTTGACTAGTTGAAAGACTGTCCAATGCATCACCTACATATGGCCTCGACGCTCTTAACAAGTGGGGAACATAGAAGGGAGGCACTCCTCTATCATTTATGTAAGGGAGAAGTTTATATAGAGCCGAGACTCTAAACAATCAAATTGGAGCCCACCTCAAAAATTTCATTATAAGAGGTTGTTTTGATGCCCAAATATCTTCAGGTTGATCATCTCGGCGTCAAGATATATGGACATGAGAAAAAAATGGATTTCAAGCTCTGGAAATAGGGCAATTGTAATGTATTTTTGGATCGTCAATTTTAAAGGTTTTCATATATGTGACGACCCACAATTTTTGAAATGGAAAAATAATATTATTTGTGTTAATAAAAATAAATACAAAATAAATAAATAAAATAATAATTATATATTAGTAATGATAATAATAATAGGAATATATTGCTACTTTTATATTAACAATAAATAAAACGATATTATTGTTAATATGCTTGAGGGTTCAATTTTATTTGGGTGGACATTAGGTCCACCATCTTAAAACTTTATGTTAACACAAGCTTTTGTTTATACGTGGCGGCTTTACATTCCTCTTATCTCATTTGTAAAACACCTTGCATATGAGGTATTTCTATTTTATTCGAAACTCTCTCTCTCTAACTGTTTACTGTTATGTTTAGTAAATGACATATTTCTTTCTCTCTCTACTACTAGGGTGCGTAGAGTTTACTATTTAGTAAAGGGAAAAAGGGGAAGAAGCGAAAGAAAGAGATTTCAAAGGATGTCTGCTTCCTTTGCAAAGATGGTCGGGCGCTCTTAGTTTGCGATTACTCGGCTTGTCTCAAAGGGAACCATACTAATTGTCTCTGATATTTTTACACTTGATTGTAGTATTGCCTATGAAATGATTATTTACAAATTGGTAATTTCATAAATTGTAATAATTCCGTATTTAATTTTGGATTCTGATAAAAGTTTGTCTATTGATACTAGACTGTTATCGTGTTTGATTTCAATAATGTTCTTCAAAACTACTACATTTCATAAATTATTGCACAAAATGTTTAACTGGCTACTTACAGATATTTCAATGAAAGTGATTGTTATTAAATTGCTTTAAGTGAATTCATGTTAATGATTTCAATGATATTTTGCATATATGATATTGTTGCTTTCTGATGTTTAAAGAGTTTCAGAAATAATTTGATTAAGTGGACCTGAAGGGATCGTTATGACCTATTCGGTTATGCCTGTAGGGACTACTTGGACTCATCGGGATGCCAGTGAGGTATGATTGGACCTGCAAGGATTGTTATGATCTATCCCGTTACACCGATAGGGACTATTTGGACTCATCCGGGATGCCGGTGATGTATGTTTGGACCTGCTGGGATTATTTAAACTTATCCGATAGGGGCTATTTGAACTCATCCGGAACGCCGATGAGGTAGGTTTGGATCTGCAGGGATTGTTTGGACCTATCAGGATGCTGGTGGGGTATATAGGTGACCTACTTGGGACGCCAGTAGGGCATTTTGTGAAATCCTTTGAATTATGCATCTTTGTTGAAATGTTTATAATCATATCAATCATTTGGATTATGTTTAACTGTGTATTTGTGAAAGTGTAATTGTTATCTATAAATGCTTTGCTTGCAATTCAGGTTGTTTTTAACATACATTCTTCAGAAAATGTTTATATCTTCCAACCATGATTATTTTTGAGGACCATGATGATCACTTACTGAGTAACCAAACTCACCAAACTATGGTAAATGTTTTCAGGGTAATTGCAGTCTCATAGTTCGAATGCAGCAGGACTATCTTTGAAGAATGTGTAGGCATGATTGACATTCCCTTTGTAACTTTTGATCAAAGGCATTGATGTAATTTTTGTTCTATCAAGATATGTTTATCTAGTCTTCATGTTAATATCGGTTGTGGGCAGAATTTGTACAGATTAAAATTACACTATTTGGTGCAATTCGTATATAGTAGTAGAAATTCTAAATTTGTTTTATATATAGATAGTATAAGAATTGTCTGTTGCACCTCGGGAATGTTTGAAAACTGGGGGTGTGACAATATATATGCTCGATCTACACTATTTTTTAAGCTTTAAATTTTATAATTAAAGATAAAAATATATTTTAAGTCTATTACAAATATTTTCAATGTTAAAACCATATTTCTCAATATTATTTAAAGGTGCATTCTAATTTGATGTTTTAGAGCCTCAGTTCTATACAAATTGCACCTTGTATGTGATAATCTGCCCACGTCATTGTTCTCTCTCCAAGACAATTACCGTTTTTTGTTTTAGCCAAAGTCACATTTCTTTTTAGGGCAAGCTTTCTATGCTTCCCATACATCATAAAACTTCTATGGTTCCCCCTAGCCAACCGTCAATTCTAAATGGATGGCTTAGATAACTCCATCACAATGTCACCCTCTATACTATTTTATTTTTAATACAAAAAATTTTGACACCAAATTTGGACGTCCAATCTTTTCTTGAACTATCACCTATAAAAAATATAAAAATAATATTCTCAATAAAATAAATTGACTAAAATGCCCTAAAAGTTTTAAGGGTATTTTGGCCATTGTATTTTATAAAAAATATTTTATTTAGGTTCACCCATTGAAGTGATAGTATGTACCAAATTTCATATTCATATAATTAGTAGAAAAAATTAAAAATAAAAGACTCTAAGGCATCAGATCTAAATTAAATGGTTAGTGGCTCAATTAATCTAAATTTGACGGTTGGATGCAGGCGGAAGTATATATCTTTTATGCTGTAGGGGAAGAATAGAAACCTTTTCTTGTTTTATTTATTCATTTTATTTTAATTTTTTAATTTTAATTTTAATTTTTAAAAAAGACACGTTTTTATGTTTTTCCTACAGCATAAAAGATATGCACTGGAGGGGTTGTATTGTAGTGTAATGCAATCACACCTCTAGAAACCATAAATTTGCACACACATTCTCTTCATCCTCGTAATCAATCATCGAAAAAAAAAAAAAAAAAAAAAAAAAAAAATCAATTTGCAACTTAAATATGGTCAATATTAGTACCCTCCAACAATGAATCTCAATCGCCCATTTGGTGAATTTTAAGATCTAGGCCTTAACAAATTCGAAATCACTTTTTTCTTTTTTAGCATTTTAATCTAATGATGATAATGCTATATAAAAAATTTAAAAATAAAAAAATCCTTATGTGAAGTATATCTAACCATCTCACTAAAATAGACTGCTTATATTAATTGGACTAAAAAAACCACTTTCTAAAACGTTTTTTCAAATTTTTTTTTTTTGTGATTGTTTTTTAGAATAAAAGGAATATATATTTAAAATCCATATCAAACAAATATCTGAAACATGGTTGTCGAAGATGATTGCGTTATAGTATTATACAACTGATGCTTTAAATCATTCCCCTATACTAGAACCTATGTAACGAGAGATATACAAGTTGTGTTCTTATGCAAAATGGGCCCATATGTATAAATAAAAAAAAAAAAAGGGAAAAAAAAGAAAAAAAAAGAAGAGGAAAAGCAGGGGGAAATGGCACCCTCTTTGGACTTCTTGAGAAATGTTTGAAGGAGACGATGAGTGAGCTTTTGATGTTGAAATTTGGTCGAAAGAGGCTTGAGCTGCCACGCACAGGGGGACTGAGTTGGAAGCCCAAGCAAGGGCTTACTTTCGATAATAAGAGAGTTGGCAAAGTTTGATGCCTTCAAGGAGAGAGCAGCTGACACTTGGGCAGCAGTGAAGTTGATCGATTGGTAATGACAAAAAATGAGTAGCCATCACGGTCCGGTTTGGTGGACCCGTCAGGCAGAGCAGCCCAATAAATTCACTCTCTAGTTTGAAGCACCTGTTCGAAATCAGAGCTTTGTGTTGCTGGGTCCAAAAAATGAACAAAGAGATGATCCAATCCTCAGTAGATTCTTTAGCTTCAAATATCCAGCCATGATTGCTAGCACTTCTTCCCCCGAAAAGAGGATTAAAATTTGAAATGCCACTCAAACAGGTGCTGAACCATTTACCCAATGCCAAATGAATGCCCAAGGGTAGTGTTTCTTGTCCTCCCTACAAAAAGCACCATGATTGGCAAGGAGAAAATCCAAGGATAAAAGTTTTGCAAGCAATAGCCAACGATCGGGTGCCCACGGGCAACGCGAAACAAACACCATTAGATAGACCCACTGTGAAGAACCCGGTGGAGGCAGGACCCCCAAACGATAATGATCATTTCCTGATTCGGGGAGGTACGACTTGCATATTTATAGAAAAAAAAAAAAAAATCCTAAAACCTATCTTGCTCTTTAAGCAATTTTAACAACATATCCCTCATTTTTTACAAAATTAAACTTCCAACTCTACGCCTTAATTCTCTAAAAAAAAAAAAAGTACCCGAATACCCTAAGTTAAATAGATAAAAGTCCATGTACCCTAAACCCTAAATTTTAGAATCTACAAAAAAATACTGTCTTTGTCTGCGCTCTGATGCTTCATGCCCCTCCCTTGTCTCTGAAAGAGTGATTCCTTATCTCTGAACACCCCGGAATAATTGTTTAATCTCATAAGAGAAGGCAAATGAGAGATTCCCGAGCCTCCATGAGGCGAATGCACACATTCAACTAATTAACAGTTTGCCTCCTTTTAGGGTTTATCACGTAATTGTCTTATGCATTCTATGCAATTTGTAAGCTATATATTATTTCGCAAAGTTTTGGTTCGTGTAATTCTATTTGAATGCCACAAGTACAAATGCACGAGACAGGGTTGCAATGCATTCGATGGTGTAGAACTTCTGCATCTATTTTTCTTTTGTTATTTCAAAGTTACATGAATGTGCATTATGGAGATCTTTATTCACATTCCTTTCTCCTGAAGAAACAAGTTTATGTTACTGTATGAAGAAACTGCGAGGTTCTTTCCATTGCTTACACACCTGTGCAAGCATTGTTTACTTTGAACAATGCACCTGTGTTTACTTTGAAATGCGCATTGTTCAATTTTGAGAGAATTATTGATGAACTTCAATTTTCATCTTTTGTGTCTCATGACTTATGTCCTTCTGCTACTTGATGTAACTCGTCCTTCGGGCTTACTATTATCTTTCAAAAAAGAAAAGAAAACTGAAAAAATCAGTCTTTTGACAGCTCATTGTGGCGGCAATGGTAGACCATCTGTTCTTTTAGATGATGATTGCTGACTTGTTGGCATCTCTTAACCCATGTTATTCGCTTCGATTTTTTTTCTCTCTTTGCTCCTTTTATTTTATAGAAATTTTGTTATTTTTCATACAAGATAAAAGTGTTTTGGTGCAGCACCTTAGCACGATTGAAAGGCCTCTATCATGCTCTCTGTAGTTGTATATGTGCATTTGAAGGAATTGCGCTTCCCAGGGCGCGTTGGTATGTGTTCTTGAAATCTTGACAGATCCATGTTCCCATCCATTCAGCAGACAGAAGAGCCTCGATTGATGGACTGAAATGGTGATGTTAGGACAGAGGGTGTGTGTGGGGTAAATGCGTAGAGTTGGAAACAATGGGAGGGAGAGGGGGAGGACGTGTGGGTAGTGGAGTTGTTGTGCTGGAGAACCGAACCTCTCCACGTCGTGCAGCCATTGAAAAGGCTCAAGCGGAGCTCAGGTAACCACCCTCACTGATTTTCTCTCTATATCCATCCAACTTTGGAGTGCTTTGATTTTTTGTTTTTCGTATCAAAGCTGCATTCTAAATGAGCTACGTGCAGGGTGGAATTTGATGTGAGACAGGAAAGGAGAAGGGAACTAGAGTTTCTTGAGAAGGTAAGTGTACCTGTTTGTTGTTGTTTCGCTTCAACATTCTCCTTGATACATTTCATGAGGTCGCAATCCCATTTAGTAAATAAGAGTTTCCGTTTTGGCATGGTAGGGTGGCAATCCCTTAGATTATAAACTTAGGCTAGCAGCTTCTGTTAGTCTTCAATCTACCTCACTCACGGATCAGCCGCCAGAACATTGTTTGGCAAGGTATATATGTTTGATGTGCATTGCTTTCTGAGTCTTGGTTTGTAGTATTGTATATAGTCATATTTGGCTTTACATGGGTTAATCTATCTAGCGAAGCTAGAGGTAGCTTTGTGCTGACTGCATCACCAAATGGAGATTCTGCTGAAAGCAGCGGGAGGCTGGGAGCTCTTCTCGGAGGAGAACCAAATACTGCTGATAATCTATCGCTCTTTGTTGGTGATAATGATATTCCGGCCAGGGAGAAGTCATCTTCCTCTAGGAAATATAATGTTGAAGGGAGCCAAAATAATAACAATGCAAGGGAATCTGAGGACTCAGTTGGTGTCCGCCTTGGGTTTAAAAATCAAGCCTATGCTCGAAGGAACAGGCCCAGGTCTAGTCGTAACAGTGGGAAAACACATAATTCTGTCGACACAATCCAAGGGGGCAATAGGTCTTCGACTGTACCGCTATCGTCCCACCAGGATGGAAAATTATTTCTATGTGAGGTTCAAATGGATAAGAACCACAGTGTGTCTGATGTCAAGCCTACGAGTGCTAATGATGTGAATGGAAAGATGCAGCTGCTTGCTGATCGAATGGATATGGAGGTGGATGATGTGCAGGCACCGGCTGAGAGTAGTCTGAACCTGCTAAAAGACCTAAGTGTTGAAGTGAAGCAAAACACAGCTGCCTCTGAGAAGCCTCAGGATAATGAAGTTCATCATTCTTTTGAGAAGATAGTTGGGGAAGACCCTAATTCTGAGGCTTTTGCACCATCGGGCAAAAGAGCAGTGCAACCTTTGGTTTGTCTTCAAGTAGCAGTCCAAGTAGGAGAATCCAAGAACATGGAAATAGCTCATGAAGGCCTACTTGATTACACGAATGAAGATGGGAATGGAATGGAAAATGAGAAGAGGAGCAGCCATGACTGTGCTCTTGGCACTGTTACTGTAGAGTTTGCTAACGGTTTGGATTCAGAATCCTCTTGTACCCTTAAGAGTCTCAGTTGCAATGGTGGTGTTGTAAGAAAGCAAAACATACAATTGGGTAGGAGTCATAGTTTTAATGGATCAGCCAACCGACAAGCTTTAACATCCGAAAAGATCCCTACGGCAACAGCGACCATCAATGATATCAAAGAATGCGTGAAATCCAGCGAGACTGATGCAAATGTGACCTCGGAATGTAATAATCCTGTTCTCAGGAGTTCTGGTAGCTCTGATGTCCAAATAAAAATTGAGCTTGAAATATCTGAGAGTAGATCTGATTCTCAACTTGAAAAGAAACATATTGCAAATGCTAGGGAGACAGAATCACAGAGTCTGGAAGAGAGGTTGGACAATTATTCAGGTCATGAATGTTGCCCAGAAAAGCCAACCTTTTGTTCTCAAGCCAGGGCATCCAGCTCTTCGGTACCCACTAGCTCTGTGCCGTCTGAAATTATCGTTTCCCGGATGGAATGTCCTACAGTTGCTGCTGAACCTGACAATCATGGGAAAGACAGAGACTTAAAAATGACAGATAAAGTGCTTCAAGATGAGTTCGCTAGAGAGGTAAGAATTGCAAAGGTGGCTTTTGAACTTTCTTGTTTTAAATTGTTAAGAGACCTTTGGTTTTCTTGCATGAAGGTAATGACAATTAACTTTTTCCCTAGATTCCCCTGAAGACATCTGAACGGTTGACATTGAAACAAAGAAAGTCCCATTGGGACTTTGTTCTCGAGGAGATGGCTTGGTTAGCACACGATTTCATGCAGGTATGGTTAATTTTTTAAATCTGATTAGGAAAATTGTTTCATGTGGGCTGGACTGCATTTCTACAATATGCAGTCCAGAGGTATAAAGCATCCATCTTAAAGATGGATGCAAATAGGTGGTCCATCTAAAAACAAGTCTAACTAACGGTCCAAATGTTTTCTTAAAACAATTATTATTTCTAGTTTTCATTTTTATTTATTTTTCCCATATTCATGATCTCCATGACATGTTCACTATTATATATTCTCTAAATATTAGGATCAAATTATATTTAAAAAATATATTTATTGCCAAGTCCGCATTTCTACAATATGCGGGTTGGCTCCATAGAAACCGTGTCCATCTGATTATATCCACATGTACTGCTAGAGATGTATTCAACATCCATCTTCATTATGTAGTTGGTCAATGACGTTTTGAGATGTTGCTTCAGTCAGTATGCTGTCTTATCATTTTGTATAGTGGCTCCACAGCTTGGATTCAGTTTCAAGCTATTCATTTTCTCTTTTCATTCTGTGAGCAGGAACGCATTTGGAAGATCGCTGCTGCAGCCCAAGTATGTCAATGGGTGGCTTCAAGGTGCCAGTTAGATGAGAGGAAGAAGAAAGTTGCACAGACGTTAGCAAATGCCGTCATGCACTTCTGGCATGTAGCTGAGGTTATTCATAGCAGGATTTGCGGCTCTTGCAATGGATTGCATGAAGTGTGCAGTGAAGAATCCTCTCGTTTGGAGAATGAAGACGATTGTCGATCTAAAAATGACCTGATTCAAGATTCGAAACATGTGCAGGTTGTTTATTTTGTACAGATTAGTATATTGCTTGACAGTGCCCTCTATTTAGCTCATTGAGTTCACTCTCTATGCGCAGTACCAGTGGTTGCTCGCTCTTTGTATTGCTTTTGTTTCTCACTTCTGAAAATGTCTTTAAATTGGCCAGAGCAAATTGACTGATGGTTCTGGTGAGTGTACTTGCTGAGTCATGCATTGGCATGCCCAGATAACTTAGCTCAAACTGTATCTGGTAAATTATCCAATTCCTTTACCTCCTTTGACTTTGGTGTACTTCTCGATGTCTAAACCACCTTTTAAAAACTCAACTAGAACTATCCACAGGCTGCTGGAACACTTCCTTTTGTAATACAGCGTTGTCCTTAGAACGTGTGGCAACCATCTCTGATGAAGAATTCCCTTCTATCACAACCTCTGAACCCAAGCTCGCATCAACCTCTTTCCACATTTAAAGGATCCTTGGCCCTACCATATTTTTCTCAACAGCAGCATAAACACCATTCATTCCTGTATATAACCTTGAACACTTCTTCAACAGCATTGTGACATAACACAAGTGATTACTGATAGCTAGAGAAAACTGCTTCATCCACTAAACCTTCTATTAGAACCATATGTCCTATCTCTTAATTTTTCATACTCCTATGGGGCACTTCTTGTGCGTTCAAGACTTCTTCAAATATCGTCCACTTCACAAAGGGCATCCTTGGGATGCGCTTTATGGAAAATTGCATTGCTTAATGACATTAAATGGCTGCGATAGACTTTTAGTGTTTTTTCTCTAGGGATATATCTCACAGTACATGTTGAGATGTTTGACTTGCTGTGTTCAGTTGGTGTGTGTGCTTGTGCATGCACACGCGTGTGTGTGTGTTTCTTTGAGTGTGCACAGGCTTTGTGTGCATGTGCACATGAGCACGATGTGTTGTTTGTGAGTGTGCGTGTAGGTGGGTGGGTGCTGATTGTCGTGATGGTGGCTACCTCTTTGGGGAATAGTTTTGATAATCTTGGGGTGTTGAAGGAGGCCTTGAGGTTTTTGCATATTCTACTGTTTGAGCAATTCTCTGAAGTGACTGTCCCTTCTGCATTCTGATTCTTAAATGAGATTCTTTTCTTTCTTTCTTAGATCACTGTTGTCTTTTTAAGTTAGAACTAAGATCTTTTCAGTTGATTGGAAACAAATAATAGCACTTGAACTGCTTGTGAAATGACTGTTGCTTGGCATATTCACGATCATTATCAAGAAGATGGGAACATAAACTCAGGAAGAGGAGAAGATGTTTCTTCTCTTCTTGGAAACATCATCCCCACATATTTTCATTCACACTGTAGAATAAATCTTTTGAAATTGGAATGCTACTTTAATTAGAAGGTTCTCGCTAACTAAGAGTCAACAAGCAATGCTTCTACTGTTCTACACTTATACCCGATGATTTATGTTTCATAACATTGAATTTGTGCTTCCATTGTTGTAAGAGAAAGTATACAATATGACCATTTCATAATCACTCTTAGGCATTAGATGTGAAACCGGGAGGTGGTGGGTGTGCCATTGAATGGCTCATAGTCCAAAATAGAATTTCTTGAACACTGCCAGATTTCATAGTTGACGGCCATTGGTGATTATGACAATCTTGTACCAAATGTACAACTGCTTGTTTTAGTACATTTTTGGGCATGACTTGTCTTTTCCATATATTTAGAAAAAGAGAATGATTATAGTGATGAACCATCATCGTCCAAGCAGTTCAAGGTTTTGAATGTCTAGAAATGACTTTCACTCTGTATACAATGGAAATTGCTCAATTAATTGATATAGCATGGCATAGTTACTTTTGTAAATATATGAATAATGCTTGAGGGCCCTTGAGGGTTAAAGAGGCATCCAAAAGTTGATTTGCATGAAACTTGTGAGGGAAAATGATAGAAAATGCACACTGTGGAGGATCCGGCCAAATAACTTATAATGTAAGATATGCATTGTGTTCTGTTTAATGCTTTGCCATATAACTTTTTGTAGTGCCAGATATTACTCAGTAATCATGTCTTGATAACTTCGAGGTTTTAATTTCCCCATCAAACATGTCCTCACATGTGATTAGATACTGATAAAAAGTTAAATAATTCTATGTTTCTTTAGAAAATCACTATGTTGTATAATAATAGATTATGCTATTGTACGTGTGCATTGCACTACTTTCATTTGTGATACAAAATGCAGTATACAAATTTATATAATATTATACATTGACTTCTATAATGGATATTTTTATTTGCATCATGAGGTAATCATAGTGCTCTCTTTTGTTTTTTGTGTATCAGTGCGGGTAAAGTTTTCTTCTAGATACACAATTAATTGGGGCACTTGAGTTATTTTTCTCATTTATGGGCTTGCTTCACAAAAAAAAAATAAAAAATCCATGCAACTATTGTCGTTCAATTTACTAAGAATTCTGGTTAGTTATAATTAAAAATAGGATTTCCTACTATAAAAAAAGAAAAGAAAGTGAGATTTGTTCTGTGAACCAGAACAGCTTTCCTTTATGTTTTACATTTGTACATTTGTCCTTGATGTTATCGTTGATAGATAAGTTGTAATTTCTTGAAGTTTCGTTCCTAAACTGTGAGCTTTTGTAACTAACTATTTCCTCTTTGTTATATGCCAAGCAATAAGAGTAATAAGAGTATGCTTGATGTTAAGTTAGTGATGTACAGGTTTTAGGTCTGATTTGTAAAGGATGCTTAGTTTATGTAAGTATTTTCTGTTATTGATGTGGTTGAAAACTACTCTCTGGTGAATTGTTTGCATTATTTCTCTTTGTCGGTCTTCTAGGATTAATCTCTTCATATTTACTCATTCTGCTTGTTGGAATAATGTGAGCTGACTTCTATAAAGTTTAAATCATAGTTCGTCAAGATTATAGGTTTGCCTAAGTTAATGCGTAATGGAAGGCTTTGTGATTAGTCAGCCTCCATTGGGTCAGCACTTGTTCCAAATGCATTTGCTTGTGTAAATGTCATACTGCCTTCACGCAAGTGGCTTGTCCTCATATATGGATTTTATATTTTATTCTTGGTGACTCTTAGAGGTTTTAACCAAGTTACTGATCTGGAATATGTTGGACAGACTTCGGGATCTCCACTTCAGGGTTATGCACTGAGGTTTCTGCAGTATCATAATTCACAGGACACTAGCGATGGAGCTGAAGCCCCTGTTACCCCTGAGCAGGTGTCAGATGCTCGAGTTTTGGAGATCTCATGGGATGACCAATGTTCAGATGTATGCGTTCCCAATCTTTTCTACTTGGTTAACATTAGCATAGTATACCATGATTATTTGGGATTTGATTTGCCATGTCTGTTAATGTTAATGTTAATGACCAAAAGGCTATAGAGATAGTTATTATATCATCTTGGAAAGAGAGTTGCCAAGATTTGTCTCCTTTGGCCACTTGTTTGTTTTCGACAAGGTTAAAGTAGGCATTAATATCTTTGATACCTTAGTTAAACCCTCTTCTAAGGTTACAAATACAAATGCTGGAAAGGAGAACTGTTTTATGAGGAAATTCACTATATACTTATGTATACAAAAAATCTCATGAGGCGTGAGTCTGAGCCAACCCACACAGGGATGCCTTGTACAAAATGAACAAAACTTAAAACAGATAAAAACAGATTCAGCCACTCACATGTCGAGTACTCGAAAGCTCATGATATCCAAAAAATTATGCGTGTGGCAGCCTACAAGCTGGGTGCTCAGCAGATTCAGGTTGGCAGCTTACAGGTATTCATATGGATCCACCTCGTGATGAGCAGGATCAGGAGATAGAGTATCTAAGTCAACAAGTTCAAGAACTTTATCAAAAAAAGACAACAAGTTCAAGAACTTACAAGGCGGCTTGTCGGAATCGATCGTGGGTGAGATGAAGTTTTGTCCGTCCAAGACGATGTTGAGTACAACCCTTTTCACGATCGTGCTCCTCATGATGAGTCGAATGAAGGCATAGGCAGCACTCAAAATCCAGAGATCTAAAGTAGACATTTTATTTTGAAGGAAAGTCGTAGCCCGAAGACTTTATAGACTGGGTAAACACTGTAGAGAGGGTTACAAGAATGTGCCAAACAATAAAAGTGTTAAAATTATTACAATTAAATTGAATAAAGGTGCTTCAGTATGGTGGGAACGATTGAGAGCAAGGCGAGAGAGAATGGGAGAGCCCAAAATTAACACCTCGGAAAAGATGACAAAGAAATTAAAGAAAAAATACCCACCTGAAAATTATCTACAGTCCCTTCATCACAAGATGAATAATCTTCATCAAGGGGAAAAAATTATGGATGAGTACACCGATAAATTTTCATCATTGATGGCACAAAGTGATGTGGTTGAAAGAGAAGAACAATCCCTAGCTTGCTATGTGGGTGGTCTGAGAAAATCTATGCAAGATGTGGTGGTTTTGCACCATTATTGACATTAGATGAGGCTTACAACCTAGTAGCTCAGGAGAGGCGCCCATCATTAAGGTGGGGTGCAGCCCAGGGTAATCGAAGTGGCTGTGGGAGCGAATTAAAGGGAAAGGTGGGACTTTGGTGGCTGGACAGTTCTCACGACCTGCTGGACCCTCCAAACAACATGATATAGTGGGTGTTTGTGCAAATAGCCCAAACAGTACTGTCATTAAGTGCTTTAAATGTTCAGGAGTGGAACGCATCTCCTCTCAGTGCCCGGATAGAAAATTTGTGAACCTTGGAGAGGAGTTCCTTAAAGAGGGCAACAAGCTATCTTCTGTCGGATACTCTAATTATGATGAGGAACCTAGGGTAGAAGATGGATAAGTTACATTTAGTGACCATGGGGAGGCTTTGGTGAACCTGCACAACATGATTATGGCTTGAGTGGTAGAGGAGGCAGATTGGTTAAACCCGGAGAATTTCTCATCAAATTGCCTCCAAAATCAGCAAGTCATTGATTGGGACTCTCCACCGGTATTTGATGAGTGTAGATGAAGAAGGTAGTGATCAAAATTTTGATCAAGAACCGGGTGAGAACAAGGAAGGTGACAATGGTCAAGATGAAGATGAAGAGTTTTGGAAGAGGAAGTTGCTGATTTGGTTAGTTAACTAGGGGTTGGAGATGATCATCGTGAAGATGCTCCATTGGTCTGTTCTAGGGCTCATCCAACAAAATTTCAGTGGGGTTTAACGATTATACTGATGCAATTTCAGCTAGTTAATGTGATTGAACTGAGTGTACATATCACGGTTATTCCATCCACATATAGTGACCCTTCCCCGAGTGTTCTCAAAATTATTTATGGATATATCAACGGATTTCAAAGACTTAGTTTCAGTGCACAACCGTTGTTTTTTGATTAGTTCAGTACCTCATATGTCCCACGATCTTGTTTTCAGTATTTGGGTTAAGGAAGTTGCAGGACTAATGCAAAATTCATCTTAGCTTATTTCAAAACTCGAGGATAAGTTTTCTCTAACCAAGGGAGAATAATGCAAGACAAGATGCCTCTTATCATTCTTGAATTTTTCTTATTAATTTTAAGGATGTATTTTTGGAATTTTTTGGGGTTAATTTTTGGGGTTTTTAATTTTTTTTTTGTAGAGATTCTAGTAGTTTTTTCCTTTTTAGGATTTTAGGAGATGTTTTGAAAAGCGGATGGAATACTTATGGAATTACTAGTTTTATTAGGGATAAAAGTGTCATTACAATTTTTCTTTTAAGTGGGGATAGTTTTTGTAAGGTCCGGGATTTTTTCGGTCGTTGATTCTGTTTACATCCTGAATCGTTTTCTACTAACGCTTATCTCAGGTTTCTTTTTCGATTTGCTGATTAACCTTTGTCTGGTATTTTGAGTGGTACCGTGTTTTTATAGGGATTGTGAGCTTTCCGACGGTACGAAAATCGCTAAAATCTGAGGTATCGTCAGAAAGCCATGATCCGTGCCCCGATTATTTTTTCTGCGTACATCCCGACATGCCGTGCATACATCCCCATGTATGCACACACTCTTATGTGCACGAATCCCCATAAAAACTCACCCATCTCAATGCACATGATTACATCATGCATGCCCCCACGCTCATGCATGCCCTCTCTCCTCATGCATGATCACTTGAGTGCCATGTGACACATGCATGCTTCCACCCCCATCATTGTGTTCCTCATGCATGCCCTTTCTCTCCTCATGTATGATCACTTGAGTGCCATGTAGCACATGCATGCTTCCACCCCCATCATTGTGTTCCTCATGCATGCTCTCTCTCTCCTCATGCATGCCCTCTCTTTCCTCATGCATGATCACTTGAGTGCCATGTGGCACATGCATACTTCTACCCCCTATATATACCCCCCACTCACTCATAAATTGGGTTTTACTCTCTCTCCTCATCCCTTCACTCCCTCACATGCCGCTCTTTCCCCCTTGTTCTTCTTCTTCTCCCTTAACCATTAAACCGTCATACCCCTCACCTTGAGCCCTCTTACCCTCCCACCATGAGCTCCCTCACCTCTCACCCTCACCGGACTTGAAGCTGGGGTGTCCATGTCTTCACAAATGAGACACCCTTCACCTTTAATTTCTACTTCTCTCCCAACCAAGCCTCGTAAACAAAAAGCAAAAATAGGTTCCCTCCAAAATGTTTCAGACATGGCTTCATGCGATTTGTGATGAGTGGTTTGTGGAAGAATCTCGAACTTCTAATCTTCATACCATATATCGGTTGCTAGCAGTGCTCGCCCACTTGGGCTTGCCGACTCAAACTTGCCTCACTCACTCAGGCTCGGTAGGGTGCCAAGCTTTTTTTGTTGAGGTGTTTTATTTTCGTTTTGTTGTGTTTTTTTGGGAGGGGTTATAATACTAAAACTAGAACGCAAAGGGGGGTAGAAATCCTTTTCTCTTTATTTCTCAAGAGCCAAGTGTTAAAGCGGCAATGCAGTAAACTTTCTTTTGCATGATCTATAGAGTAGATTTGAGAAAAGATATATTTTTTTTGGATTCGAGAGATCGATTTTTTTGACCCAGTTTGTCCCTATACTGAAAAGTTGTGATTTCTGCACAAGGGTTGGTTGGTATTCGATGAAATTTGTTCCCTAGGCCTAATGCAATTATCGGCTTGTTTTCCACAAAAGAAAAAATCTCACATTTATGAGATTTTAATTTCAGTTACTGTTCATCTGATATCTTCAAGAGTTTCAGTTGCTGTTCTTCTGATATCTTCAAGAGCTTGGATGAACTAGATCCGAACTCGAAACCTGTATTTTGTTTGGGGGCCACTATTTCGGGTGTCTAAGGAAGCTTTCACAAGGATTGGAGGCAACAATTCACTCTTAAGTGCAAAGATTGGAGGATCAAACCCTCGAAATTCTGGGTAAAATTTTAATTTTCCATTTAAATTTATATAATTGATTTTAAGGAAATTAATCAAAATACACTTAAAAGTTGAACTATTTAACTTGACCTTTGGTTTAATTTGTTAAACTTCAAAACCCATTTTGATGTGTCATTTAATGGGTTATTTGAAATTTGATATAAAAAATAATAAGCTATTTGAAACTAGGTAAAAAACAAAATGGGTGAGATGTTAAATAGTTCAAATCCTTAGTGTAGTTTGATACATTATCGATTTTATATATATTTTATGAACTTTTGTATTTATGAATTGAACTGCCTTTATTGTATATGCTTTTCATATTTTTTTGTATTTTTTGAATTTTCCTTAAATTTTCCAAAATTTCGGGATTTTTTTGGGCTTCTTGGGTCACTAAGTGTAAACTCAAGTGAGTTGATTCAGACTCACCCGACTAACTCTAACCATTCAAGGTCTGAGTTCTGCGGCTGAGTTGATTTTTCCAACACCGGTTGCCAGTTTGTAATTGTTTCCTTGACAAAACACTTGTTGAGAGATGGATAGAAGATCCTATCTTTGAGGTAGCCTGGCTAGGTCAACGAGACAGATCGTGAAGAGATGCAAACACACAGTTCAGAATGGTAACCAGACACTTGTTGAGAGATGGATAGAATATCCTATCTTTGAGGCAGCCTGGCTAGGTCAATGAGACAGATCGTGAAGAGATGCAAAGACGCAGTTCTGAATGGTAACCAGTAGTACAAGTTGACTATTTGATTATAACAAGTGGAAAAGATGAACGTAAAACACATTTACATGGAAGATTTGAGCCCCCTGTGGAAGATGTTGGTAAGGTTACAAGATGGGCTTCCCTTATATGGAACACACAGTCTCCCATCTTGGTGTGAGACATGTATCCATAGCAACTTTCTTTTGGCAATCCTGAGCAGATCAGAGGAAGATGGGCATGGAAACAAGGAAATGAATGTCTTAAGCCAATATTAAATGTCTTTTGATCTTGACTTAAGAAATTTTTGGGATTCCATGAGCAAAGAAGCAAAACAATGGAAGCAGAGACCTCGCGGTAAAAATCAGGAGGACACCATGGAGGGAAAAATGGTGGTGATAAATGCTGGAACTGGAAGCTCTCAAACTAGGGTTGACCTGGGTATTGAGGAGTCTATTGTTGGTTCGTAGAGGACGCTTGAATTCAGTGTTTCAAGTAAGGATTTGGCCGCCTGAGTGCCTAGGGGTCCTTGCCACCTAGGTGGGCACCTAGTGTTCCAGGTGCCCCAAAACATAGAGAAGGGGGCGGGGGTTCAGGGCCTCACGGGTGTCGTTGGGGGTTGGGGTGGGATACTAAACCTCATAAATTGAACTTCACACAAGTAATAAAAAGGACCTATTTTTATCACTTCTCAGTAATACAATGTTAATAAAAAGGACCTATTTTTAATGTATTCTATGCACCTTATTGCTGTTCCCAAGCTTGGATGAGAAACGAGGGCTGTGTTAGGTTAGTAGCCAGTGGAGATCTTTTGCCACATCCTTTCATATAAAGCTCGAATGATGATGATGATGATTCTATGCACGCTATTTTGTCGTACTATTTTAAACTCATACGTACATGAGTTTGAAACTTGAAACTGAATTACCGTAACTTTAGCAAATTGAGGACCAAACTTGAAAGTTGAACTTGAAATGCAGTACGTTAACAATCATTTCCATAATCCATACTATACAATCCAAATTGACCATCATTACAATTCAAATCGACCATCATTTACTAGAAGTTACAAAAGTCAGAACTCCAAAAGTTGACATGACAATACAAGATAATAAATCCCATTAACTGAAATTTCAAATTGAGTTTCATCATCATCGCCGCTGCCAGCACTAGGAACACCGCCATTCAATCTCCATGACCACCAACAGCTGCATCTGAATCTGATCATGCGAAGCCATCATCATCCCTTACGCAACAATTCACTCTTCTGTCTCAATCTCTCCCTGAGTCAGCCTCTCTTCATCCTAGCCCTTGCTATACTCATTCTCGTCCTTTTTGATTTAGATCTAGTGGGAGGTCAATGAGCTTCCAATAATCTCACGAACTTGGCTCCAGCTTGAACTCTATCTAGAAATATTGCATCATATTCAGCATCAATCAACCACTCACTGAAATGGCATTGATTGATGGAACTCGTGATAACGCTTTTTCAATATCTGATAACACTGAAAACAAGATCATTTAGTCTCTTCTACTCAAGCTTCTTTGTCTTCTTCATGTGCATTTGTAGGATAATGCATGAATGCATGATTAGAATTTAAGAAAATATAATACAAGTTAGTGACTTAGAGCTGTCCTAATAGTTCATTTGAGAACTCCTTGGGCGATTTTACTGATACGCCTTTAGTGTTTTAGGATACTCACCTCCTCCAAAGGCTGCTCTTGATAGGAATAGAAAGAAGTTACTAATGCCCCTGATTATCTTTAGATGATCTAGGCACACACTATTTTAAGTAACATATATTTTTTGAAATGTTCACTATATATGTGTGTCTATGTGTGTGTGTGTGTGTATAGTAATAAAATTACAAAAGGTCCTCAAGACGAGTGAGGGGAAGGCAGCCCCCATGTTGGGTGCTTTGTACAAAATTAATTGCATATCTTAAAAAATGGAGTTAAGGCAACCCACAAATCGGGTGCTCAAAAACCTTCAGAGTCCACAGTAGCATAAGAAGATTGACGTTAAGAGTGGCTAGGGTGGGAAGGCAAAAAAGGGAAGGCGGAGGGCGGGGAGGGGGGGGGGGGAACAGAGCTGAGAAGGGACGAGCGAACTTTTGCTCCTTCCGTACTCCAAAAAGGGAGGCCTAGTCTGTAATAGGAAGCAAGTGTAGCAAAGTCATTTTCGGGGGAAGAGACGAGCGGACTCCTCTTTACCATTGCTTCCTCCCCTTCTGTATACTAAAGTGTATACAACAAAAAAATGTATATGATTTTCACACTAGACTACTACTACAATAGAAAACAATAGACTACTTAATACTATATAGAATAGAATACTACTACAATAGAAAAAAATAGACTACTCTTTGACTTTATATACATATATATATATATATTTAGAGAGTATATAGACTAGTAGTCATATCTAGTAGATATCTATCTATCTAGACAATAGACTACTGTGGGTATATCCTTGTGGTTAGTGGAGAAAAGCCATCATACTGGATTTGTCGTAAAATTGAGATGATTTCGTTTCCTTCCTTATCAGAAAGGGGCTCCACAATGGTGCGGAGCGGGGCTTCTTTCAAAGGGGGGAGTGAGGGTTGTTCTGAAAGTGGGAGGGAGCCCTCTCAATTTTACGACAAATCCGGTCCGATGGCTCTTCTCCACTAACCACAAGGATATAGGGACTCTATATTTCATCTTCGGTGCCATTGTTGGAGTGATGGGCCCATGCTTATCCGTACTGATTCGTATGGAATTAGCACGACCCAGCGATCAAATTGTTGGTGGGAATCATCAACTTTATAATGTTTTATAGTATGGTAGCAAGAAAGAGTGAGAGGGGAGGGGTGATAAGGTAGAGGCCAGAAGAATATAATTCGAGAGAATAGAAGAGAAGTAGAGTGTATGCAACCCACACACCAGGTGCCTAGAGAAGCCAAAAGAGGGAGGGAGGGAGGGGAAGAGAAGGCACCCACCAGTTAGGTGCTCAGGAGAGAAATGAACATCTATCAGGTATGAAATAACTCGAAGATTTCTACGGGAAAAAAGGAAGGGGGGGGGGGGGGGGCATGGGGTTTGTTTGAGAGAAGGCAACTCACAAGACCAATGCTCAGAATCTCAAAAAAATTGCCAACTGCTTGGACCCAATTCCGAAACCAATAACAACCTTGGACCTGCAAAAAAGGTTAGAGTAGGGAGTATGATGAAGGAGAGGAGGGGGGGAGAAAAGAAGGGAAGATAGAGAAAATTTAGGAAGAGATGAGAAGGGTGAGGTTCTAGTAGAAAGAGGAAGATGGGGAAAATGAAAACATAAAGCTAAAAATAAGAATTTTAAAAAAAAATTATGAGTCGATGGAGCCCCCATGATGGCTGCACCCTTCTTGGCTAAAACATCTGCCTCTGCAGTTGCCTCCAGCCACAATGATCGAAGCTGAATCGAAGTTGCCAGCACAGATGAGAGATGCCAGGTAGAATTTTGTAAAAAATATTGGAGAGGCGTCAGGGGCATTGACTCCTCTGGTTGGCCTGTAGGATGACATTCATACTTTTTCCTTCCATTATGAGATTTTTCCCTTCAACTGGGGTAAAACCTATGGGGCCCTTCCAACAGTGCAGTGGCCTCAGCCTAGTCACCAGTTCCAAGGAAGCTGTGGAAGGAGGATAAGATGTTGCTCTAGGAATCCCTGAAAATTCCCCCAAAACACAATGTCTTGGGTTTCCCAACGAGCGTCAGTCAAAATTGAGCTTAATGGTGCCCTGATTTTTGGGAATCCGTAGTTAGATGGCCCTATGTTTTACATAACTTTCCCAAATTACCTAATAATAATTAACATAGTTAATTTCTTAATATTGCCTATTATTGCTATAATAGCCCCTAGTTTCAGTGAACGATGGAAGGAAACCCTCTTCTAGAGGTCGAAGATACTTTGCCTTGTTCTTTACCTACAATTGCTGCAAGGACTACCATCTTCCATTGGTTCTTTGTTTTGTTGGTTGAAAAATACAACTTCGAAATGATCAAAGTCATCTTGTTCATTTGGTGTGTCGAAGTTTCTTTATGAAGTAACTATTTTGACAACTGTTTTCTTGTTATTTGTTTTTTGTTTATAAATTAAAAGTAGTCTTTCATTCATTTATATCTTATTTGCCAATATTTTTACTCTTCTTTCTCTCTTTCTTGTTTGTTTTTCATTTTTATTGGCAATGCACTCGTTTTCTTTTGACCACAGATTAAGAATGACAGATGTACCTTGGTCATTAAAAGTACCTCGGTGCTTCACTCTTTTCTCTCATTTTGAGAATGACCGATGTTCATTTGAATGGCTGGACGACTTGGTTACATCTGATTTTATAAAATACCAAACTGTCGTACACTTGAAGCCTGAAGGATCCAATATTCTAAAAAATTCTAAGAACTTGATGGCTTGTGGCTCTTAAAAACCAAGCAAAAGCCTTTTTTGCTTGAGTTATCTAAAATGCTCTTATTTTCTCTTTGATTGCTGGTTTTCTTTTATAATGGTTAAGAGATCTTGCTGCTTGTATTCTGCTAGTAGCTTATACTTTGTTACCTCGTATCTTTCCTTTATTGTTTCTATTATTCTTTTTCATTTTTTGATTGATAATATGCCTTGTCTAATATGTTTGCTGTGCCTGCTTGTCGACATGCCTGCTTTTCTGTGTGGTCATGCCAATGCTTCCATGAGGACCTGTGATCCATTTGTTTGTCTGTGAGCGCACGTGCACTCATGCGTCCATGTTAAGACAAACTCGTGCTTCCTTTTGATGATTTTGCTTGTAACGTTTTTCCCCTAGTTCTTGATCCCTGTTGGGTGCCTTTCTTTCCCTTTTTTTCTTTCTATATGCATGTTTGCAATCTGTGTCACCAAATAGTGTGCATGTTCACAGCTGTTTTTTTTTCTTTATACACTCACTTTTTGTCTTTCTATATGCATGTATGCAATCTTTATCACCAAATAGTGTGCATGTCCACAGCTGTCCAAGCATGTGGCCTATGTACACTTATGTTGAATTTGTATCACTGCAGTTGTATAAATTCTCTCTAGTTAGCTACTGTTGAATGATATGTGATTGATGTTTTATTTCTAGGAAACCCTTTTTTACATGGTGCCACAAGGTGCAATGGACATCTATCGAAGTTCCACAGAAGTTTGTTGGGCATCTTGTGAGGTTGTACTACTTTTATTTCTTTGAAATCTTGTGTCGAGGTATTTTCCTGCAAATAAAATCTGAAAACACAGTTCGAAGATGTTCACAGAGAATCGTTTTTGCAAGTTAGCCTGATTCTAAAATAGGTGCCACATTAAAAAGATCTTGTTGGCCCTTTGCAAAATTTGAAGAAGACTTTGGGCTGTTGGAGACCCAAAAATGTTCCTTATAATTTGGATTGAAGTACTGGAGTTTGGAACCAGGTGATTGGAACTGCTGAATGCAAGCATCCAAAGTAGAGACCATAGCTCTCCAAAATGAAGACTTTGGTGCATTGAGTCCTAAATTGTGTTGGAATTTTCAAGTTGCAACCCAAACATTCTAGACAGGGACATGCATTTGGGTATCTATCATGTATGTGTTTGTGTGTGGGAGTTTACATGGTGTTGCAGGAAGAAAAGGTGGGAAATTAAATCAACCTTTTTCCTAAACCTTAAATAAGTAAAATCAGCAATAATGGAACAAAAAATATGATTGTAAATTAAGCCAAGAGAAAAAATTTCTTCTTTCAAAAATAAAATCCATTCCAACAACAAAAACATCCCAAAATCTGATGTCCCACTTTTTATAAGCCTACAAAACCCTAAAATTAATTTGAGATCCAAGTAAACAATTTAAAACTCTAAAATGCTTCTAAATAATACTAAAATTTCGGAGATACCCTTGTGAATAGTACACAAACAATAGCATGAATAATACCTATGAATAATAACTAGTGAATAGTAAATAAAAAATATAAAAAACCTTAGAATCCCTAAGAAACTTGAAAACCCTAGAAATAGATTCTAAAACTAAAAATTAAAATATACATTATTGAAATTGAATAAAAATTAAAAATAAGATTAATTTTGTCCTGCATCGCATGGGATTTGCTTATATACTCTTATGATGGCATGGAATTTGTTAGTTTACCTTTATTATTAAATGCTAGCTAGCTTTGTCTTGTCATTCCACCATAGAAACTCTATATTTTCTCTCTTCCCAAGTCCTATTGCTTAGGGAAATCCTCTTCCAACGCATGCTAGAATAGGCGTTATGAAAAAAACAAGAAGACTCGAGAAATTTGATTTGAAAGAAAAGACCATTAAGATGGGGTTCATTTGTAAAAGGAATGGAGTCTGGCCTTAAATGCTATTAAAAAATATTGGAGATCTGGCCATGGTCTCAATATTCTTGAAGACTTTTAAATGAATACTTCAGCCAATCACAACATGGATCCATGTGTCCAATGCCTTTGAATTCATGGAAAGCTGCAGCCTAGGAAGTCAAGGCAAGCTAAAGGTTTACCAGGGGTGAATAATCCTATGGGGATCTTCTTTTTGCTCACTAGAGGAATACCAAAAATATCACTGAGAGAGGACTACTTATTTGTTTTCTGAATGTCAAGACATAGCATTTAGCCTTGACACACATCTTGTCATGATTGGTACCAACTTGATTTGTGTGGAGTTTGGAGCATCGCTCTCCACCCAGATATAATACTTTAGATGATTAGCACATAGTTCCCCAGAACGGGGGCTTGATGCACGGCGGGGAGAGTGAAGCATCGCCGGCTGTGTAGTGAACGGTAGGGGTTAGGGGGCGGGGTTGTGATACTGGAGGAGAGCTCAGCGAGGTAGGCTCCAAGGTCTGCAGTTGGGGGAACGAGGTCTGTACATGGCCAGGGAAAGGGATCGAGATTCCTGGCTTTCAGGGAGTGCGTTGCATTTCTTACTAAATGGGATTGTGTTCTGTTGTCATTAGGATCGAGGTCCCCAAAGTTCACTTTTACCCAATATTGTAATTTGGGAGCAAATTCCAATGGACAATACTCTTTTCCAAATTCACAAATCCAAGAATGTTGCGATACATTGGTTCTGAAAAAAGAAATAGCGTGATAGCTAAGCTCACCTTTTCAAAACAACAAAAAGGGAATGCATTGCCATATAATTTTCATTGCCATATAATTTTCCCAATGGCTCTCCATGTTACTCCATCAGCCCTAAGGCAACCCCATGATTGGCTCAAATTGGTTTAAGTGATACAAATCCCTTAGGAGGTGGACATGACCCAATGAACTAGCTTCAAGGAAGTTAAGCGTATTGATCGGGACCTCACTTTTCAATATGATCGCAACGCTACTAACTTTTGTATTTCGTCCCAACTTCTTCTTCCCCACTTTGCCTACTCTTGTTGTCTTATTTGACATTAGACGCAAGTCACATTTTAAAAGGTGTGCACAGTTGTGTACACTGCATAGTATTTAAGAAATCACGGATTCATAAAGTTTTTAGGTCATAGAAATTTGGAGATCCACACTCCATTGTTTACGAACCAAAAAGTTTGTTGGTGAAACTCGGTCCCAAAGTATCAGATACTCGTATTCGAGTTGGTGGAATCGTGGTACCACTTGATCACGGAACCATGATTTTTGTCATAGAGATCTGGATCCCATTTTCATTGAATCAAGTTCCCTAATTTTCTGAATCGTGATCCCAAGTATTAAAGAATCGTCCGAAATCGAGATCTCATGTCTCAGAGTGTAGAATCGAGCTTTTGGAGCGGAAGTGGACCCCTTCTTAAAAGATCCCAGTAACTATGTGTTAGCATGCCTTGACAAGGCCTTATTGTCAATCATTTACATGATGGCAATGGCATGGAGGCTTTTGGCCTTAGTTTAGAACCATGTTTTGTTTTTTCATTATTGCTGATTTTACTTGTTTAAGGTTCAGGAAAATGGTGGATTTAATTTTCTACATTTTCTTCCGGCCTCATTGGGCTGTGTTTGAGTCTTGTGTGCATTGTTTGTGACTTGGCTGTTGGTTCGACTTCCCTGCGGAGTTCAAATCTTTTACACCCCATGTGCCCTAATTCTTTTAGCATCTACTGGGAACATAGCAACAAAAAGTGGATTAGTTGCTTGGTTCTCTAAGAAAGCCAGGAAGGTTGTAAAAGTACTGGGCTCAGGCGGTCAAGTGGGGTCTGGGCACCTAGGTGCCAGGTGGGTTCTAGTTTTTGAGGCGCCCAAGACATTCATATATGTATATATGTGATGCATGAAAAAAAGATGAGAAATTAAATCTGCCCTTTCCTTGAACCTTAAACAAATAAAATCAACAACAATGGAGAAAAAACATGACTGTAAATTAAGCCAAGAGAAGAACTTTCTTCTTTCATAAAATAAAATTCACTCTCCCAAAATTTGCTGTCCCACATTTTATAAGCCTACAAAACCTAAAATTAACTTGAGATCTAAGTAAATAATTTAAAAGTCTAAAATACTCCTAAACAGTAATAAATTTCATAAATACCTATGTAAACAGTAACATGAACAATACCTATGAATAGTAACCAGTGAATATTAAATAAGAAATATAAAAACCCTAGAATCCCTAAAAAGCATTAAAACCCTAGCAATAGACTCTAATTAAAATATACATCATTGAAATTGAATAAAAATTAAAAATAAGAAGGATTCTATCCGGCATCATTCTCCCCTAGTTGGAGAAAACTCGTCATTGAGTTTTGAAGTGAGCTAAGATGAATTCAGCATTAAACCACCTCTTGAACCTCGAGTTTTGTTGGCTCTAAGATTATTTGTGGTAAAAAGAATTCCTCAAGAAACTAATTCTGATATGGGTTTTAAAAATCAATGCAAATTTATCAAATACGATCCGTCTTGAACTCCCGTTGAAAATTGTGTAGGAAACTTCAAGCCCAATTTTCTGATCTTTGGAGGATTTCTTGAGATCTATTTCATTACTCTCTAAAACAAGGGCTACAATTTGTAGTTTATGAGTCGACCACACTTCCTTTGCGCTACTCTAATTCTAATGTCTTAAGTCTCTTAAATGCTCCACCTCTTTGATATCCTCAAGATTTGCAAAGGTCATGATTTCGATCAATCTTCTTGCTGCCTTCTCACCATATTCTTGACGAGCAAGATCCTCTTCTGAAACATCTTCATCTTGATCCTTATCATAGATCGGATCTCCTAAGAGATCTTGCTGTTTACCAGAGTGTATATTTAACATTGGTGGCAAATCCCAATATGCAACTTACTGATTTTTTATATAACCTATGTCAAAATAAAAAGTGTCATCTTTCAAATCGAAAACCCTAGAGTGATGTTCCCTATGTTTAGGTCTTATATTGCTTTCCTCTTCAATCGACTATTCACGCGGAGCATGGTGGTGAAAAGTGTTGTATTCGACATCTTCTTCAATTGAAAGATCACTGCCTTGCCCATGAATGGTGCTCGCAAACTGCTGCCCTGCTGCTGAACTTGCCTTTTAAGTTCCTCAAATTCTTCATCTCTGGGATCACAAAGTGGATTTGTGACACGTTCCCTTCTCACTACCATAGATTCACCAAAATCACAAAGCCTAGATTGATAAGCAACAAAACTCACTGAAAACAGCAAGATCTAGGCTGATTTAGTAAAATTCGGGCTTAAATCAGCAAACCCTAGGTGTAGTTGTAGTTTCTTAGCTTTGTTGTTTAATAAAAAACCTTGCTCTATTACCAATTTGATGCAGGAAAAACGGGTGGAAAATTGAATCTTAAACAAGTAAATCAGCAAAAATGGAGAAAAATAGTTGTAGATCAAGCCAAAAGAAGAAAAACTTTCTTCTTTTGTGAAATAAAATTCATTCCAATAACATAAACATCCCAAAATGTAATGTCCACTTTTTATAAGCCTACAAAACCTTAAAATTTGCTTGAGATCCAAGTAAACAATTTAAAACTCCAAAATACTCCTAAACAATACTAAACTTTTGGAAATACCCCTTTGAATAGTACACATGAACAATACCTATGAATCTAGTGAATGGTATATAAAAAAGGTAAAAAATCTAGAATCCCTAGAAAACTTAAAAACCCTTGAAATAGACAAAAAAAAAATAAAAACTAAAAATTAAAATATACATCATTGAAATTGAATTAAAAATAAAAATAAAAATAATGCTCTCCTGCATCAATATGTGCTCCAAACACACATATATGCATATGTATGTGTCATATATGTATGTGTATGATTTATATATATTATAACCAAGTGCATATGCATATATATATGCACTTAGATGTCCTAAAAAGACATTCAAATCATTAATTCACATTTCACAATAATGAATTATGATAATTCAGATGTTCAAATCGTTGACCCACATTTCACAATAATGAAATATGATAATTCAATATTTCCTCATTAGTGTAAGATTAAGAATTAAAATAAATTTACTATCTAACAAGTGACAAAACCATACACATGTCTTCTTCCCCTTAGCATGCTTGGACAACTTGCAATTTAGACCACTCTTCTGAAGTGAACATAGATCTCAGTTGGTCTCTCTTCTCCAATATTCTCTGTATGCTTGGGAAAAAGGCGGCGAATCTCATGAGTCTAGGACTAACTAGATCTTTTTCTCAATGAACTTGTGCATTATTCTAAATTAAGGTTGTGACTGTAGATGAACACTATCATGACCTTATCCGTATTAGGTTCCCCTTTATCCTTAGTGTTTCGCCAATAGCTTCAGGCATGAGTTCTATGCAATATGCTGCTTATGTATCTAAAATTTATGGGGCTAAACTTTTGACGCAACAAAATGAGCAGTAGCCAGATTGGCTGCAACATTTTCGGTTGCTACCTTAGTGACCTTCAGGGGATTTTACTGTGACTTCCTTCTACAAAAGGCTCATCCACCCCCCCACTTTCCCCCTCAATCCTACGTCGATCCTTGCACAAGTTTGGCTGACCATTGCACCCCCAAAGGTGCAAACTTTTAACTGGATCGCAGGTTCAAACAGGGCACTCACAATGGATCACCTACAAAGGAAAGGAATTCCTATTCCTAATAGGCGTGTCATGTGTTTGTGACAAGAGGAATCCAATAACCACCTGTTTCTGCACTGTAACGTGGCTCATGAGATTTGGAGTCTAGTTCTACAACTGTTTGGGGTGCTTTGGGTTTTACCTCCAACGGTAAAAGACCTTTTCGCTTTGAATCTGTTTGCGCATTGGCTGAAGGCAGGGAGAATCCTTTGGAAAGTAACTTTGGCAGCAACTATTTGGACCATTTGGAAAAAAAGAAATGGGTGTATTTTTCGAGGACAGGTCTTCCTTGCTCCTTCGCTATTCTCGAAGGTTACATCCTTTGTAACCTTCTGGGCGGCTAACCACCCCTGCTTCTAGGTCATTCCTACGGACTCTTTCTACCGGTATTGGGGGCATATTTTATTCCACAACCTGAAGAAAAACAAAGTTAAATCAGCTTGGATTGCTCCTCCCCAAGGAGCAATCAAACTGAATTTTGACGGTTGCTCTTTAGGCAATCCTGGCCATGTAGGTGCAGGAGGGGTCTTTAGAGATCATCTTCAAAACGTCCTCTTCTCCTACACCGAATACATTGGTGTCCACAATTCGCAGTTCACCGTATCAATGCCTCTCCTTAGAGGCATACAGAGCTTCGATCGGTCTTGGGGACATACTCTCTTTGTGGAGGGTGACGCCAGGAACATTATCTCTTGGGCTTCCAAGACAGCTTCTCCCCCTTGGTACCTCATGCTCAGTTATGAAGAAATTGAACATCTTTGCAGGGATACGCCAATCTTATGGACGACTATCTCAAGGACGTCGAACGGGTTCACCGATCTACTAGCTAAGGACGGAGCCATGGCCTGCGCTGAAGATTTGGCACTAAAGCGGTCTGTTTTTGGAATGGGCACAAAGCTTGCACCCTACTCGAACCCTTTTGGACTGGGTCCTCTTTTAGCTTTACTTATACGGTCCTGATTGTATCTTTTTTGTACAGCTACAGTTCACTTTGTAAGTGGAAATTCTTATACCCTTATTTTGTATACGGTCTGTTGACCTATTCTTTTTACCAGGAGTCCTAGGTGTTAGGCACTCTTGGATTAAACTTCTTCTCTTGTATCTATCTTTTCATATCTATACAATTGTTAACAATTATCAAAAAAAAGTTCGTCACTCTGTCCTCCTATCTAGGGTTGGCAACGGTCTGGGCGGCCCGGTCCTAAAAAAGTAGGGCATTGGCCACAAACTGTGTCCGGGCTAGGGCTCAGTGCCTGCCCGGCTCAGCCCATCCCACCCCTCTTTTTTCCTTGTTTTTTTTTTTGTTTATTCTTCATTTGTTTTTGGCATGGGCTGTCTTGATAGAGGGATATGGGCTGTGCTAGGGCCAGGGTTGCTTGGCCTAGGCCTGCTTGTTGCCACCCTTACTTCTATTATTCCATGTGTCTGTCAGAACTAGGACCCCCATAATGGACCCATGAACTATCTTGAGGTAGTCCTTTGTGAGTGGTCTTTCCTTCTATAACGATGGCTCCTTTAGCTCATACGGGGTTGGACCCTTCAACCCTGGCCCATAGTGGCTATTTCCCTCCACCATTGTGTGGAAGCTGCTTAGGTGAGTAGCGTTGAAAGCAATTCCCTCTTGATGGATCCATCTAGCAAGTAATCATTGAAAAAAGGTTCAGGAAGGAAGACGCCTCTTCACAGAAGGCTTCTAAAACCTAATTCTTCTCTTTGAACTTTGAAAGGAACCACCTCAGATTCCCCTTCATCATCATCTTCATCATTACCATAAAAAATATTCACCACCATCCTCAACCTGCTATACTTACATCCCCCTAATATTGGCAAGGTGTTTCTTAAGTTTTTTGTATCTTTGTCTTGAAAACTGCAACAAATTTTGTTCTTATCATATTTATATGATCAAAAATATTGTTTCTGTCGCACATCCCACCCCCTATTAGAACTTGTAGAAGACATTTCAAAAGAAGGAAGGAATCTTAAATATGAAGATATGTAGATATGTTACTCAGCTTTGTTGCCCAATGTTCGATCCTCTATGTTTTGGATGAATATCTGAAATTAAGCTCTAAATCACCAAAAATTTGTCTTATAACTACTCTTAATAGTTGACAATGAATTCAACCAAAAAAAAAAGTGAAGTTTCGGATGATCTTAAACTTCTCAAAATTTTCAATCTAGAAAAAATTTGACAAATCTAAGTTTTTTTAAATATTTTACACCCCCCTCCCCTCCTCAGTGTAAAATGATGAAAATGCCCCTTGCCTGAGGGCAATTTCTGCCCTCTGACAAGTGGCAAGCTAGGCTGTTGCCTAAGCATAGGCGCTAGGTGCCACCTAGGCCACTTGGATGCCCACCCAGGGATAGGCGGCTAGGCCTAGGCAGGGGAGGGTGGCGACCTAGGCACTCGACAGGTAGTTTTTTGCAACAATGCAAGTCATGATATATAAACGAGGGGCAAGCTAGGTTGTTGCCTAAGCCTAGGCGCTAGGCATCACCTAGGCCTCTTGGGTGCCCACCCAGGGATAGGCGGCTAGGTCTAGGCAGGGTAGGGTGGATGCATACAATGGTTGTCTACTACACCAGTTTCTTGAAGCTCAACTTAGCAGTTACTCAGTTGGCAACCCTAGCCCAGCTGGTGGGGGCCTTTTTAGGGATTGCTTCAGGGTGATATTTATGGTTTCCTCTTGCTCTCTGTGGTTCTCACGGGGTGGAGGCATGGGCCTTGTTCACTGGTATTAATATCTCCTAGCTCACATTATTGCAGACCTAATAGTTATGCGGGGTGACTCTAGTATAAGTAATTGCAGGCGCTTTGGGTCCGCCCCCTCTCCCAAGTGGTTATTGGCTGGAATTTTACAAGGTGCTAGAGTTATGTAAACACATTTTGGTTTCCTCTCCACCACTATGAGGCTAATGGGCCAGCCCTCCGTTTATCTAGGGAAGGGTTTAGCTGAACCTTTCTAGTTTCTGATACTTCCAATCAGTTGCCTTCTTATGGATACCCTTCACCTTCCCTTCTAATTGTATATACTTACCATTTCATGCATTTAATGAATGCTTGAACTTTTAGTTACTGATACTAAACATAGTGTACAAAACTTAAGCCATAGCATAACAAAAATCATACAACAGAAACTGTGTGCATGGATGTATGCATGTGCATGTGTGTGCATAAGTTGATTTATTGTACAAATAAATGTTGAAATTGTAAGGAAAAATGTGAAAATTCAAGCAATATTTGTGTCTGTGCAATTTGCTTGGTTAGGGGCACAAAAATATGAGTCAAACTTTAGCAATGTATATGGTGCATATGTGTGATTAATAAAATATTTTGTGTTCTTTGGGTGCTAAAGTCTTACATGGATTCTCGTTTTCTCAAGTGGTAATCTGTAATTTTAACAAAGACTTCTATTCCCATATTCCTAGTTAATTTAGGCTGAATAAGTGTGGATTATGGAAAAGTTCAATTCATCATGGATCATATAAATTGATTATTTTGCCAGCAAGTGATTCAATCTATATTTAATCATGATTGACTCTTCTGTGGTGCCTTTGATATGAAATAATCAAAATGGGACATGAAGAGTATTTTAATTTGTCCCACTTAAATGAACCTGTAATCGTTAGAACTTGAGTCTAAAGTGTACCATATGCATCCTATAAAGTGATAAAGCTTTAGCATCGCCACCAGCTTAGAAACTTACCTGCCATGTGGGGCTAATCCAACTGGTAAGCTTTTGTCCATGATTTTATAATGGTAGTAGAAGTCCTACTTAATTCTTCTATTTGTGATTTTGTGCTTTGTTTATTGAAATAATTTTGTTTTTAGAAACCTGAGAGCGTGACGCATCGAGAGGATAGTGAAACTTTTTCGTGGTTTGATGCTGCACCAGGTATTTAGTAGCACAACTTGTTTATTGGTTTTAAGTGAAACAGTATCACATTCTTAATGGTATCTGTATTCATTTTAGATTTTGGAGCTCGAGAGATTGCAGTTGATGAGGATGAAGGTGAAACTGAAGAACATTGTTTGCCTAGTTCATTTGATGGTAGCAAGTCATCGAAAACTGCTTTGCAGAAAAAGAAAGGCCTTCCAAAGTTTGCAAGATCTGGTGATGCCAGAGTTTTAAATATGTTATCTTATGGGCTCTGTTCGGAAAGTAAGTATGAGAACCAACCATTGTTGGCTGGAAAGAGGGCATCGAGTTCTTTAAATGTTGGGTCTATTCCTACAAAACGCATTCGAACTGCTGCTTCACGGCAGCGGATTCTCGGCCCATTTGGTATGGGAACTACTGGAGGGGCTCATGCTGCCAATAAAACAGATGCATCAAGTGGTGATACTAGTTCATTTCAAGATGAGCATAGTGCGTTGCATGGTGGTTCTCATACCAGGAGAACTATTGAAGTTGATTCAACAGTAGATTGCAGAAAGCAGTTGCCTGTTGATTGTTCAGAAGTATCTACTAAATCTAAAAAAAAGAAGAAGATCAGGCATATGGGATTTAGAAATTCAATGACATTAACAGATTCTGGGGGTTTGGTAAGTTCTGAAAGTTGTGGCATTCTTTTTTCATGTTTTGGATGTATCATTGGTTTTGTTAGTCTAAATGTTTGTTAGTGCAGGGCTCTGAGTACGAATCGAGATGGCTCATTGATTCCATCGGCCAACATCAACAGGTGATATTATTATCTATTATCTTTGACCTTACTGTTTGTAGCATATGAAATGGACCAACTTTATTTGTGTGCGTGTTTAGTATTTTATAATTCCTTTCTACCTTAATATGTTTGGATTGTTTTAGTCAATCCTAGTCTATTCGCGCTTGTGTGTGTATTTGACCATATACATTGTGGGATTGCTTTGCTTAGGGGGCCCAGTCAAGTGCTTGGATTTTTGGTCAACTATAAAAAAGAGAAGTGCCTGAATTTTGGGTTTTACCCCTGTAACATGTGAACACATCCATGCATTTATATGCATGGATTGCAATTCATACATAAGTATATGGGCATGCATCCATAAGTAAATTGTATGTATAATTTTAAGAGTTTTCTACAGTAGGCATTCTGGTGGTGAAGTTTGAAAAGTTCTACTTGCAAAGTTCAGAGTTGAATTGATAAATAAATGATGAAAAATGTCCATTACAACTTCCAGCATTGACACAAAAATGTAAAGCCCAAAAAGCTAAACACAGTCATTGCGTTACATGCACTTGGCGTGCTTCCAATAGATAAAAGAAACCATAGAACTTAGTTTATTAATAAATGTAGAAATGGTCAAATAAATGTAACCCAATTCTCAAATCTAAAATCATAAAATATGACTAGTGATCAGATTCCTTTACTCTCCTCATATGTCATACTGTCATCTGAATCATCATCTCCTCAACATATTCCCATACTCCTTGAGTCCTCGGTCTTGTTTCTCCTTGTTTTGGACTTGCGCCTTTTCCTCGAGCCCTTTTTGTGATCTTTTACTCAGTCTGGATCTATGTGGAGGTCACAGCTTGCTCAAAGTATAACCAAGTCACATCCTTTTCCTTGAATAACTATCTTTATCACCTTTCCTTATTGTCCCTTTTTGCATTCATTTTTGCTGTTTTAATATTTGCTGCTCCTTTTCTTACCCATGTGAAGCTCTTTCAGATGTATATTTACATTTCTTTTTGCTTGGTGAAGCAATGAGTGAATGGTCAAAAAGCTTATTCTGTAGTGATCAGTATACTTGTGGTTTGCTTTTGATTTTGATTCAGCGGGACCATTCAAAGAAGATGACAGAAAGCCATCTATATGAAGCTAATGTAAACAGTGGTAAGTGTTAAGTACATATTGAAACTTGTTCATTACCTTCAAACACTAGTTTGTACTCTTTAGCAGTTTTGCGTAATTTGATCCGATTCTGATATCCTACTTACCTGCTCTTAAGGTGTGCTCGGAGCTGCAAAGAAATCTAAACTTGCTCAGCAATCACAAGATACATCTCCAGAAACCACGACGCCAGCAACAGCATCAATGCCTTCTCCAGTTGCTTCTCAAATGAGCAATATGTCCAATCCAAATAAGCTCATAAGAATGATTGCTAGTCAGGATCGAAGCCGAAAACCTAAAACACTTAAGGTATGTACTACTGAAACTTCATGGCTGATGTTTCTTGTTCATAGTTTCAGCTAGAGTTGCCTGATTTAGAGAATCTTATTTGTTTCCCTAAATCTTTATTTAATGCTCTAGGGATTCTCTACTAATCTCAGGGTTGTTTTCTGTTAATTACTAGCATATATTCATTTATTTGATTATTTGTTTTAATATTCCAACGCGTGGAGGATTTAAATGTATTACATTTAAAAATAATTTATTATGAAGAATTATTTATTCTTAAATATGGTTGCTTGGACTTTTGGAATTATGAATGTTTCAGACATTTATAATGAGGTGTGTTCAAGCGTTTCTCTCATCCTAAGGCTTGGCATTGTGGATAATAAGTTGTGATCTGTAACAGTTCTTTTCCCTTTGGCATTGTTATATATTTAAGCAGCATTCAGTTGGATTGTTTTCAAATTATTTTCTTATATATTTTTTTATTTTTTATTTTTTTAGCGGTGGTTTTGCCATTCTACTCTTTTTATGAATCAAATGCATATTTATCTTCTAGACCTGTTTTTTTTTTTTTTAAGTTAACATTAATTATTTTTTTTATCTTTTTGTTGTTTTTTTCTCAGTTTAGTAGTTTAGTTGTCAATACTTTTAGGCTTCATTTCTTTCTCTTAAGTATCATGCTATTAGCGAGTTCTTTTATCTCTTTTTTTTTTAATGTGAAATTCATGTTAGATTGCACGGCCTACATGTTAGTTTTTTTTCCTTTTTCGGTTTTTGTATTGATCGCTCCTCTTTATGTGTATTGTGGGACTTTAAATCATTGTAATCAAGGAGTCCCAAAAGAGATGCATCCTAAAACTGGGGCATATATGGATATGCTTAGACCACTTTATCAAGTTTAAAGAAGAGATTCAAGAAACAAAAAGTTAGCCAACTTTCAGCTATGACATTGGGTCTCTATGGTTTGGGTGGAACCTACAATACTTTACACTGCTGAGCTGATCAAAGGCACCAGTTGGGCAGCTAGAAGGGAGCCCTACTCTCAATGTGATCTTCAAACCAAAAGTGTCCCTTTCTCCCTTGAAACTATTACTTTAAACACCCAAAAGAAACCCTAAGAGTTCCTACGAAACCCTAGCCATTCATTTGGTCTAATCACAATCCTAAAATCCTGACTTACGTTAAAAGATTGCTGAATATCAAATTTAGCCTCTCATAAAAGTAAATCCCAAAAGGTTCCAAATAATATAAAATATAATCGTTTAGTTAATAATAAAGCCCTAAAAGTCATAACAGTTCTAAATCTGTCTGAATAAACACCTTAAAAGAGAAGTATAGAATAGGAATGTTGGGCTGCTATCTCGGGTTTTCAACCCAACCTTTTTTTCTTTTTTTCTTTTGGGGCATTCTCCTCTCCTTAAAAGGACCTCGCCTCCGTGCGAGTCCTCCTTTTTGCAGCTTGGCACTTCTTGGCATCTACCTCCATGAACTTCTCTTCATTTATCTATGAGTTTTGAGAATCAGGTTTCCCCTCTCAGTTGACAAGGTATCGACAGCAAGTGCCAACTCGAGTTTTAATTTCCCTTTCTTCAATCACCCTTAACTTTTCTCTTTTGATTTACTCAGAATTTGCCCATGAAAATCTCCTTTAATGAACTCCATTTCGGGCTCCACTTTACCACCATAACTATAAAGATCTGCCACGTTAAATATGGGAGATATATCTAGGTCTTGGGGAAGCTCAATTTCATGAGCATTTTTCTAAATTTATGTAGTATTTTGCATGGGCTTACTTTATTCGTCAATTTATAATAAGTACCAGCTGGAAACCTTTCTTTTTTAAGGAGCATCATGACCCAATCTCCATCTTGATATTCCCTGTATCTCCTATAGCAATCGCTAGCTTCTTTGATTTCCTTTGGATTTTCAGCATATGCAACAACATCATCCCTAACACGGGGGACAGTGGGGGTGGCATTAGAGCCACCCTTACCAATATGGGGGTCGGTATTTAAGTCAGCGGTCCTAGCATTTGGCCTCTGGCCCCAACAATTTGATGGGGGCAGTCGCCAGTCCCATCAACCATGGAGAGAAGGGTGGCCTGTGGGCCACCCTCCATGAACTAAGACACATGGGGTGGCTTTTGAGCCACCCTCGGGTTTAGAGAAGGCAAAGGCCCCGGTGCTGTTGGCCAAACCACCGAGCGCTAGAAAGACATGGGTGACGGGGTTTCTTAGGAACCCGGTCGACCCAAACAAAATGTTTGGGAATGGGGATTATGAAATCCTCGACCCGGATATTCGACGGATAAGCGGATTACGTCGCGAGTGTGTGGGCGCAACTCGTAGAGTGAGTGCGACAAGAGTGCAAACACGTGAGACCAACAACAAGGTGGCACGTCCCCAGTGGAGTCGCCAATTGGTCGGCTGGCCCCTTTGCAAATGGCAAACCAACAATTAATCAAGGTAAACAAGTACAAGGACAAAGAGTTACATCAAAAATGAAGAAAAATGGGTTCGGACGTGCCGGGTCGTAGCCCTCTTAGATCTCAGCTTTTGACGCTGTGGAACCCCTTCTAATGCTCGTCGGCCGGTGGGGCGTGAGTGCACCTAGTCACAAAAATATCTCCCAAGATGGTGAGGCGTGTGAGCCAAACACCCCGAGGTGAGCCTTGTGAGCCAAACACCTCTAGTTCTCCCTAGGTGAGCCTTGTGAGCCAAACACTGCTAGGGGAGGGAAGACGGACCTACGCCTTTGCTATTGCAAGCTTGGAGCGTCGTTTGAATCTCATTGCCTTGCACTTTTGACTCACTCAATTTAGGAGTTGCGCTCACATGGGTTGCGATATGTGTTCCTAAATGTTCATTGGATTTTGGTTTCGGTGGACCTAAGCTAGGTCTAGGTTTGGTTAAGTAGAAGTGGGTCTAAGTAGAAATGTGCTTTTATAGATGGGCTTGGATGGGCTTTGGTTAGTGGGCCTAGATGGGCTTGGAAAGTGAGCCTAGGTGGGCTTGGATTGTGGGCCTAGGAGGTCTTGGATAGTGGGTTCAAGTGAGCTTGGCTAGGTGGGCTCACGTGGGCTTTGGTTAAGGGTTGGTTAAGGTATGGGAGCTTTGGTTAGGGTTAAGGTTGAAAGTGGGTTAGCTTGGGTTAGGGTTGGAAGGGTGGTTTAGCTTGGGTTTGGAAGGGTGGTTTGGAAGGTGGTTTGGCTAGGGTAGGAAGCCTTGGTTAAGTGTAGAGACTTAACCAAGGTGGATTTGGCTTAGGTTAGGATGAGTAAGGTAGGATAGGGTTTGGTCAATGTGTGGTTAGGGTTTGGGGAAGGGTATGATCAATATTTGCACAAAGTTCTCTCTCCTTACAAAAGGTAGTAGAGCCTCTATATTTCAAATATGCACAAAAGGATCTAGGGTTTGGAAGAGTGGTTCGGCTTAGGTGAGGAAGCCTTTGTTAAGTGTAGGTTAAAGTGTGGTTAATGGGTGGTTAGGGTTTAAAAGGGTAGGATCACTCTTTTGCACAAAGTTTTCATTCTCCTCACAAAAGGATAGTAGCGTCTCTCTCTTACAAGCATGTAAAAATAATCTCTCATGGGGTGGGGGGTGGGTTTGTATAGAGTCTCTGTCCAAACGTGGGTGGCTCCTCAAAAATTGAGGGGATTGGGTGAAAAGAAAAAAAAAGGAAAAATTACAAGTAAATTCGGGGAAAAGGAAAAAAGACCAAAATGGACATGGACAATGTCTAAAAATGACACATAGGTCCCTCAAAAAGGGCCTCTTCCTAACCAAATGGCATGGGGTCTTGTTTTTTGAGTTTTTTGGAGCCAAAACAGGTTAATTGTCACCGGGAAAATGAAGATCACATCGCTATGCTCATTTTGGTGTAGATTTTTCATGAAACCCCAATGATTTGATGGAGTTTTCATTTGTTTTAGTTTTGGGGCTTTCATGCAACTCTCCATAAAGTTTCTTGATCGATCCTAGCAAAATACTAGGTTTATTGGCGATTTGTCGATCGGAAAATCTAAGAGGGTCCCACCACGGTCGTTTTGCACTAAAAAGTGCAGAACAATCCCTCCTATCGTCTGAGATATGGCTTCGGTAAGTTGCTGAAACCCAAAATTCTGCATAACATAAAGTTTGGCCACCTTGCAAGCACACTCAATCCGAAACCCAATTCTGACTTTTCATATACCATTTGGAAGACTCACGATTGAAATACACGTGTTTTGAACTTGAGCTGATGGTCGGATGATGAGATATGGCAGAAAAAGTGGAGAGAGGTTGCATGGACTGTATTTTGCATAACCATAAAAACTTGCAATCTTCTCTTTAAGATTTCTTTTGCTTTGGCCTTCATCACGTGTGAGGCATGTACTAAATGAAAGTGCTCTGTGAGGAGCACAACATATCTGAATTTCATTCTGATCCACCTAGCCGATCAGAAGATATAGTGTCATCAAGTCTGCCCAAATTTGGGGAATGGTTGCAGAAATTTGCCATTTTGGCAATGTTGTTGGACTGCAATGTTGGAATAATATGGCATACACCCCATTTTTGGAAAGTCAGGTTTATGGGTGTCCAATTGAGATGAAATTTGGGTGGTGACGAGTTTTGGGAACTCCCAAGTCTATCTGTGATGGTCCAGAAGCATCAGTGATAAAATTCTAGGGGTTTTCAGGGATTTGTGCGTTCCATATCCATACACATGTGGTGCACGGTCCCCTTATGTCGACCTTCCTATTTCTCAGTTTCAACATCGAATTGAGTTGAAATTTTGTGATGTTTTTTAGGGGAGTAGTATCAACTTTTCTTTTTTGGAGCTAATCCGGGGCCATCTAGGTGCTTTTCAAAATAAGGGCTTTATTTTGCGCTTCACGGTAGTTTGGAGCCAAAAAATCCTACGTGTTCCATGCTTCTATTGGGTGAACCCCAATCCTTGGAAAAATGGGGGTTTCACTGTTTTTGAGCCCGGATGAATGGGGGCTCGACCGTGCTCCTATTTCCAGGCATATTTGGTACCCAAAA